AGTCCATTAGTGGTTAATCCAGCAGGTAAAAACAATTTGATTTGAAAGCCAAGACAGCAATTAGCATTCCGGAAAAGGTTTGTTCATGTGCCTTGCCTGAGAACAAAGTGATCTATCGAACGAGCGTGCTGATAGCTCGGCGACAGAAAAGTTGCCGAGAAGACAGTGGGACGGCTGCCCTTTTTAAACTGCTTAGTCCAGCTGCAGCGAATAAAGATACTTAGATTGGAAAGCCGAAGCATCAGTTAGCATTGCGGGAAAGGTTTGTTTGTGCATCTCGCCTGAAAACAGCTTGCACGGTCAATAAATAGATCAGCCAAGGTGCCTTTCCCCGCACGTGCTCGAAGCGAGTCTCCAAACCTCTCAGAAATACTTAAACGTTCGTAGAAACTTCATAACGTCGCCGTCTCTTTTACTTTGTACCCTGCCGCTCTACACTGGCTTTAATTAATTTACCACCGAAATAATTTTGGCTTCTCCCACCCGTATCCACGGGATGCCAGGTTCGTCATAACCGTGCGGTGGGAAGGAGCTTGTGCGGCTCGTCAATAGATTTGGTGTGTACGCCATGCGCCGTTTAGTTGCTGTGCCTGGAGTATGAAACTCGGAGCGTCAGAGTAGGAGTAAAGGAGTGTGGACTTAAAGGGGAGCTGCAATCATACTTAAGCGTCTACCTCTTTTGCGGTTTCCACGTCTCTTTGGGTTCGGGTAAGCCAGTGGGCACGAAGAGAATAACTAAATATCAGTGAGTCATATTTTAACCGGACGACGCGGAAACCTCCTCCACCTACGAGGGCGACCCGCGTTGCCGAAAGCGCGGAATATGTGACGTCTTTGGTCCTGGGCTTACTACTGGTCAGAGCCGCTAAAAGCATTTTTTTTAGTCGATACAAAATATAAGTGTCGCGAACCGTTTCAATTATGTATGAAAGTAGTTTTTGTTCAGTATTTTAGATCAGAAAAGAAACAAATGCAGTTTATTAAGTACGGAAACAAGAAATGACCCGTCGACAAACCCGCCACCAAGCGGTGAAAAAAACGGCGCATACTAGAAAGGCGTAGTGGGATGAGGCTCCGACGAACAATGGGCTTAGAAAGGTCCCGGATGTACGCGGTGGCGCTGCGGTCGTATACCGGCTCGAGGATCCGACCGGTTCCGAGCGTTCCCAAGGCTTTCGGCGCGGGCTTGGCTGGCGATTTGACCCTTTGGCGGTATGGCAGCGCGAAGTGGCTCCCGTTCTGAACTGATCTTTACCCCGTGTTTGCCGTCGTTTGTGGCCAATGAAGTGTTATGCCGAATTAGTCTTTAATCGCGTGGCAAATGCAATGCGAGCTGCCCTGGCCGCCCGCTTCATACAGCCTAGTCAACACGTGCTTTAGTGGCACCCTCTCGAGCCGTTGACACTGAGTGCGGCAGCCGTGAGCGCTCGATGAGCTCACTACTTCACGGCCACTCAAACCAGGACCTACGACGTCATGAAGGATGTTATTTTTTGCTTGTTTCTGTAAGTCTAATTTGCCTATAACTTTTAAAATAAAGCGAAATTTGAGAAAAGAAAAGTTTCTTTAAATTACTACGTTCAATGCGCTCAGGTTCGGTCCAAATTAAAAACCAGTCAAAAAGTTATTGCAGGGCCACTTTAACGCTCCCAATGACGACAAACAAGCAAAAAACATGTCTTCAGCACGCTGCCGGCCAGCCTCTGCAACGCTCCAAAAGGTTAATTTTCCGTGTCCCAAGATGGTCGTCCGGCAGCCGCAATCACGGAACGGGGAAGCGCAATTTAGCAATTGTCATAGAGATCAGTAAAAAAATATGGAACGCATACCCTCCTAGCATCCATCAGGTAGGGATAAGCATTCTGTGCAGTCTATATGCCCATCAATGTCAACACATGTAGCCATTTGCAGGCAGTCGCATCCTTTCGAAGATCAATCTGGCCTTCATCAGGCACCACCTTTCGCTCTCAGCACACAGCCACTGTTGGTGGGCTTCGAGGCTGCTCGCATCTTCACCCTCCACAGGCGGGGCAGCCCCGGTCTGTAAATGTAGAATATGAATATGGCAGGTATTATTTGATAACACTTTGTTTTGGCCGTGTAAAGAAAATCTGCATTCCATTTTCTAACATATCTGTTATGAAATAACAAGGTCAGGTGGAACGGCTCGAGTTCGCTGACTGAAAGACAGAGGGCTTAGCCTGAACCAATATCCTAGCAGCCTTCGATATTGGTGTGGGGGGAGAGAAGGCTGAACCTCTAAAGATGTCTTCAAATGATTCTCTAATTGCTTAACTCCAAAGTTTCAGGCTGCTGCACTTCAATGTTCTGAACTTTTTCCAACATATATTTGCGCTGTCGCTAACCATGTTCCATTTGCCAATTTTTTACACGCCCCTTCTCCTCCAATCAGAACAGCACGAGAGTCCGCCGTGAACAGACTTGGCATCATCGTGTGTCATATATCCCCGATGATTGCCCATTAAAGCCAAGGTTCGAGCACAAGCTCATAGCATCGCTAGATGGTCGCACTGCACGAACCCTCGTGCAGCCTGAGTATCTACTAGTACTGTTAAAGCGAGCGAGTTGAAAATGAATACTTAAAATCGAAAGAATAAAGCGCGAGGGACAAGCACAGGACAAGCACAGGACAACCACGTAAAGCCTGGTTCAAACAGTTGCGTTTGACCGCGTTGCGGCTGCGAGAAACCAGGACATCCCTGCTGCTTATATCGCGTGCCAAGATGATTCTTTGAATTGGAATCCACGCTTCATACGAAGCACAGATGTGCCGGTGACTCGTTTTCGGTTCTAAACGCAACGCAGACAAACACACTCAAACGCAAGTGTCGGAACCGACCTTTAGGGTACAGGCTCACAGTAAAGCTGTGAGCCCGAACCGCCTCGCACGTCTAGCCTTCGCTTTAGTACATCTCAGGATAAGAAGGAATGTATCATAATAGAACCGATGTGGTCTCACCATTCTGAGCAGAAGTGCGTGAGTAACCGATGCTATTTTCGTGGTCGCTTGCACGTAAACAACCAAGGAGCTTGTACACAACGCCGGCATTCATCTGGCTTGAAAACAACTTGAGCGTTGGCTTGGCTTGGATGTCAGCTGCCCATTGTGCTTACTTGAACTTCACGAAATCCTCTAAATTGAGCAGGCTGCTTCTTGACTTCTGCTGTCGGCGCGTATGTCTGCAATTCGGCGGTTTCCGAGTTCGACGATTCGGAAATCATGGGTGTACCACCGCAACACCCTCTTAACACGATTTCGGTAGCCGTAGGGTGTAAAAAGGATGTACGAAGGGTGTAGGCCTTTCCGTACACCCTTGAATATTCAAAAATCATGTAAAAATGGTGTAGGAAGGGTGTGAGCTCGGAAAAACACCCTTTTAACACGAACATGGGTGTTGAAATTTTTAGTGTGTATAGTAAGTCAGTTGGACTCGTGCGGCGGGCAGTCGACGCGGCGTGCAGTCGAAGTCGAAGTCGAGGTCGAGACACCAGGAACAATAACGGTACCACGAAACTACGGACCACGACCAACGCACTCCGTCGAGCGAGGGAAAGACGAAACGTCCGGGTTGCTCGTGTAGCCGCCGTAGGAGCCTCGGGCGTGGACGGATGACGGCAGGGTTTGTTGACTTGCGGTAGATGGCGCCACAAATAATTCATACCCTTTTAGTGGCAAAAACGCTTTTGAAGCGTTTCTGCATGCCTAAACAACAAGATTTTTTAAAACTTAACCTTAAATCAAGCTTACAATTGCCTAACACTATCACTTACAAAAACCACTCCGAATGACGTCACACCGCAGGTTCCATTTGCGGCCACCATGTGGCCGCAGGTTGGAAAAAAAGCGTTTTTTATTTTGCGATTACGCAGCGAAATAGAGGTAGTTCGGGGTATGGCGGCACTTTTTCTCTTACTTATGCCGAAGTAAACAATATAAAAAATACAAGCTGCACATTCGTTCAGTGTTAAAATCATTGCACCGCCCCTTTAAGCCTGGTTCAGACAGTTGCGTTTGACCGCGTTTGACTGCGTTGCGGCAGCGAAAAACCAGGACATTCCTACTGCTTATATCGCGTGCCAACATGATTCCTTGAATTAGATTCCACGCTTCATACGAAGCACAGATGTGCCGGTGACTCGCTTTCGGTCCTCGACGCAACGCAGTCAAACGTAAGTGTCTGAACCGGCCTTTACTCTCGGCAAAGAGCGCGATAAGAAAGCGAGCCGGCACGGCAGCCGCGTCATGGCGCTGATAGCACGGACCGGTCGACGGTCCGGCGTTCACCTTCATATCGCCTGCGGGTGTACACAAGCCGTTGAGGCTTACTTTTTGAAGATGTATGCATCGGAAATAAAAATATCCTATTCTGTTCTATTCTATAACCTAAGCCGATCACTATTCAAGTGGATTGCAGCGCAATTTGTCCTTAGAAAAAGGAACCCCACACTTCACAAGATTTTTCAGAAACGAAAGGTTCAGCTCTTTGCCTTATTAAGCCATTTCAGAACGTAGGTGCGTGATTTCTTTTTTTTTTTTTTTTCTTATATGTTGTTTTTTTTTTTTTTTGTAACAAATATCGCTGCATACACAAAACAAGAGGAACTGCGAAACATCTTTTAAAGAGATAATATTACGGCGTGCAAGTTTCTCTGCTCCTGCGCACCTTGTGCGCTTGTTTGCCCCCCAAACGCGCCCGGCCCGCGTGCGTTTGTTTACCCCCGACTTCAGCCAATGACTGCGTGCGCTTGGCTGCCTCGTGATCGCGCGTTCACTGCGCGTTCTCTATGTTGCCCTTTCGTTGGCGTGCCCTCCTTGGAGTTTTGGTGCGCCAAAGACGTATTTTGAAACACTTGCTCGCCGTGGTATGGCGAGCAAGGGCTTTCGGATAATACCGATGCCGATTCCAAGTGTTTAGCATAAACATCGCGCGTTTAGTTTTAGGAATATCGTTTAAAATCTCGTGCCAAGTCTCACTTACCGCATATACCGGGGTCCCTTCCCAAAGCTGTTTGATAAAGGTCCTCGTCATTTGCCACTACTAATACGTACGGGGACAACTGCATGCCTACGAACGCTGTTCCCAGCAACATGCGGATCAAGGCAGCTTCCATGGCATTCAACTTTCTTGTTCCCGGAATGCGGAGCGGGAAGTGTTGTAAGCAACTAGGGTGTCCTGTCTTTTATTTCAATATGTATACGTGGGCGTTTTCACATGTGTTGAAAAGTTTGCGGAAGAAAACGTTTGTTCCAAATTCAATGACCATTGTAGTTTTTGCTTCCGGTATATACTCAATTGTATTCGGTTTATTTTATTAACACTATTTATTTGCGCATTTACTCCATGAACGACTAAAAATCCTATCCTCTTTAGACGAATTCAGGTATTACTTTCATGGTGCATCTTAGATTTTTCAGCACGCCTTGAACGATGTCGGTAGAAGTTACAAATGTTACGTCATTTCGCGTTATATATATATATGTATATATTAAGAACAAAGGTGGGTGGGTGGGTTTGTGGGTGGATACGTGGGCAGGTGGTTTTATGGGTGGGTGGATACGTGGGTAGGTGAGTAGGTGAGTGCATACGTAGGTAGGTGAGTAGGTGGTGGATACGTAGGTAGATGGGTTTGTGGGTGGGTGGGTGGATACGTGGGTAGATGGGTACGTGAGTGGATACGTGTGTAGGTGGGTTTCTAGGTGGGTGGGTGGATACATGGTTAGGAGGGTACGTGGGTGGGTGGATACGTGGGTAGGTAGGTAGGTGGGTGGATGCGGGAGTAGGTAGACAGGTAGAAATGATATCAATAGAGTGACACTAGAGGCTGACCTCTCCATGAGTGTTAATTAATTTTAAACGATAATTCTTAGTGTGTTATTGACCCGCCCCCCGTTTTTATAATGCCCTAACGGGCCCCCAAGGATTAATAAATGAATGAATAAATGGAAATGTTAGTCTATGAACAAATATCTGAATTGTTTAGTCATTCAACAAAGACTCGTCATCATACCGTTCTGCAATTTTCTATTAGAGCGCCCTATCCTCTCCCGGCCAATCGGCGGAGGGCACAAGTTCCGGCTCCGCGTTTCTTCGCCGTCGGGCGCATATGCCCTCCACTCGCCCGAAAGCGGACCCTCCTAAAGGGGTATTCACACGAGGGAGAAATCCCGGGGATTTCTCCCCGGCACGCACGAATCACGAGATAAAAACGCGAGGCTTTTGCACATCGCAAAGCCTGACGTTTTCGTCGTGGGATGCGCGTGCCGGGGAGAAATCCCCGGGATTTCTCCCTCGTGTGAATACCCCTTAACCAAAGCGCACGCTTGTGACTCAGAAAGCGCAGCGGAAACAGCTAAAACGTCACAAAACACGCAATTTCCGGGAAGCGCTCGACTTTCGCGCGCACAAAAACGCGTTGGTTTGGATCGCGCTTTAAGCGCGAGACACATGCGCGAAAAATCCATCCGATCCGACGTCCGATCCGACAATCCGAACGCCTGATCCGAAAAATTTGGTCGCTTCAGACGTCGGATCGGCGATCCGACGTGCGTCCAACGCGCCAGATCGTTTCGCACGGCGGACGGATTGTCGGATGCGTCCAGCCAATGACAGCACAGCTAGCGCGAACGTCATGATGACGTACTGGGTCTGGCGGGACGAATAAGAAAACGGGACGGGCGACGGGAAGCCGGACGCGTGGATCCCGCTGACCCATTCGAGAAAGATGGCCCCGGCAAAGATTGCACGCGCTAACGAGAACGGGCTCCTAACTTCGCTCGTGTGAGCTAAACCGTCAATCTGGGACCGGTGATCTATGAACGCGGACTTCCCCTGGAGCGTTTGGACCTCCTGGGCGGAGCCGAACGGATCGTCGTGTCGCATGCAAGGTCGGAAGCGTGTGTCTCAAACTGTCGCGTGCGGCGATTCGGAGCGGCGTTCGGACTGTCGGATCGGACGTCGGATCGGACGATTCTGCCGTCCATGTGTCTCGCGCTTTATGGTACGTTTACACTTGCGGATCCGCCAGTGAATCCGCCCAGCTTTTCCCGCTGGGGCGAGATGCTGGGTGGAAAACGCGGCGGCGAGCCGTATAGACCTTTTCCACAAGGGCGCCGCCATCTTGAATTGACGTCACTTCCAGTATGGGCGAAAACACAACTTTGCCGTCGCCACGCCAATAGAAGACATTTAGGATATAAGCCTAACCGTCACACATTCTCGATTTGGCTCCCCTCAATTTTTTTACTGGTTAGAGGTTGAAACGTTTTACTATTTTGTCGTCGCCCATACTGGAAGTGACGACAATTCAAGATGGCGGCGCTCCCGTGGAAAATGTCTATACGTGGCTTGCACAGGACGTCATTTCCGTTGCCCTCCAGACAAAAGGGGAAGAAGGAGCTCCCCTCTTATCTGGATCCTCCTTTGTGCCTCCCGGATATGCACAGACGTCGCTGTTCCCCTCCCAGAAGATTATAGAAGGTTAACCCTTCACTCAAAATTCTTACAAAGGTAGCTTCCCTCTCCTCCTTGTATATGGTGTTCAAAAGTATGCGATGCGGGGTCAGTGCAAATCAACATTAATTCAATTACTTATAATAGACCGATCTCACTAAGCGTTCGGCGCATGCGTAACGCCGTCATAGTTTTAGTTCACGGGGGGCGAACGCCCGTACATGTGAGGGCTCGTGCCGTCTCGTGCTCCACAAGCGCAGAGCTCCAGCAAGGTTTATTGCACGTGCAGAAAGACTAAAGTTCCCTCGATGCATTGCGGCAGCGCTGGCGTAGTCAAACTGGCTGATGAGATCGATCTATTGAAATAGCTAACGCATTTCGGGTACATTTGCATCAAGGATAATGCAGGGATTGGTGCCCCTCGCGTCGCACGTGCTGCCCTCAGCAGTAGTTACTTTTCTAAAGCAAATACCTTAAACAAATGGTATCTTGCACGCGCGTTCGTCGACGCTTTATTTTGGTTATTTACTTCGAATCTTTTATACGGGGAAGGCGTGCGCGTGTGGGCGCGGGGAACACAAATCCCCGCATTCTCCTTGATGCCTATACTGTTAACAAGTGCATGCAAATACACAATACCATAAAGTATGGGTAATTAGGCACATTAATAAAAACACTAATTGACTGAGTGACTGAAAAATTGAATACCATATGTATGTTCTCTTAGATATTATTTATTTTATTTATTTATATTGTACCTACATCGCCCTGTGGTCCTTATTGTAGTTTTTTTTTTAGAAAACACTATGGGACAAGTGGAAAAAGAAAACTGCATTATCATCAATGGACTCAATATTTTCCGGGAGGTCGTTCCACTCTCCCGGTTTTGACAAAGAATGAATTGGCAAAACTGTCAGTCCTGTAAGTGGGTACATCAATTTTTTTTAGAATGATCACAGCGGGAGGATACGTAGGATGGCTCCATAAGATAAGTGGCTTTATCAATTCCTGTTATGTTGTGAGAAACATGGTGGAAGATTTTTAGCCTTAGTTTTTTTTTTTCTACATTCGAGTGTTTCCCATCATGAGAAACACGGAAACACGGTTAAAGAATTTTGGCCTTAGTGTTTTTGTTTTTTTTCTTCTACATTCGAGTGTGTTTCATCCCAGCGTAGCTTTCATATCTGTAACATTAGCATAAAGGCCATAATTGTTCAGTACGCAGCGAGCGGCCTGGTTTTGAACTTTTTCTAGTTTATTGATAAGAATGTCGTGATAAGAGTCCCACAGAACGCACGCGTAATCAAGGATTGTTCTGACCAAAGGAAACAAAAGTGTTTCTTTAACGTTTTGTCACGCGGATCTAGAATTTTGGCGGATAAAATTAAACATTTTACTAGCCTTGCCAATTGCATACTTTCTAAATGGCTGTTCCGTTTTAGGGAATCTGCAAATAGCACTCCTAGATAAACATACTCGAACTAGGGAGCCTTCATGTGCGCTTTGCTAGGGTGATGCCATTCTTTGTAATACCACTCGCCGACAAACCAGCAGCCATTTTGTTCCTCGGCGATAATCCATGGGGCTTATAACCCTCCCGGAAACAAGCACCTTATCTCAGAAGTTCGGAGCCGCGTTGTGGAACCCACGGAGGGAGGATTATCATTTTCCCCCTCGGATGGGATTACCGATGGACACAAAGGCCACTTTCCCGCGCGCGGGGAAACAATGAGAGGAACAAAATGGCGGTGGAAGAGGGTTGTGGGAAAGGGAAACAGGCAGTTGGCATCACTCTATGCGAAGCGCACATGAAGGCACTCTAACTCGAACACAATACATGGAATGTTACAGTTCATCAGGTAGGTTTGAAAATCGTGCAGCTTGCTTCTCAAGAAACGAATATATTTGCATTTACTTAAATTTATGCTCATTTTCCATTGATTGCACCGAGAAGATAAAATGTTTACATCGGTTTGTAATATGGCTAGGTCGTCTGACGTGTTTATTTCTCTGTATAATACGCAGTCGTCGGCGAACAGTTTAGTATGAGACTATATTTTCGGTGATTTGATTACGTGTATAAAGAAAAAAAGTAGAGGCCCTAAGACACTCCCTTCTGGCACTCCCGACGAAACCCGAGTTGATACGGATATAGTACCGTTTAGGACAACACGCTGCTCTCGACCTTCTAAATAATTTCGTATCCAGTTCAGGACATTTGGATCTCTGTTTATAAAAGTCAACTTATACATTAATAACTGTTGTGGAACCGTGCCAAATGACTTGCGAAAGTCTAAGAACACGCAGCCCACATATTTTCTGCGGTCTAGTGATCTGGATATTCGATGATAAAATTCTACTAGCTGAGTGTTGGAAGAGTAACCGCTTCGGGAAAACATGCTCTGAGGGGGAAAAGAAGTGTGTCGAGTCCAGGAACGAGTAAAGGTTACTATAAATAATGTGTTCAAACAATTTACACGAGATCGATATTAATGAAATAGGGCGATATTTTTCAACACCGGTTTTATACCAGGATTAAAAAACAGGCGTAAATTTCGCCATCTTCCAATCCACTGGAACAATCCCTGGGTTTAATGATTCGTTGAATATAACAAAAATATAACAGGCTACAGATTCACTACACTTAAGGAAAACAACAGA